TGATTAGGTTGCTGGAAATCCCAAAGAATGCAATAGATTGTACACTGTCAAACCATGTGTGGGATTAAAGTGAAAATGGTTCAGAGTTTCCTCAGTAAATCTTCAAATTTTATACTAATAACTCAACAACTGTCTTTGAAAATAATTAGGTATTATTGAAAGGTTGTCCATGCAGTTCAGTTCTTTCAAAAGACAAAATCCTTATTGCTAATATACAGGCATCTTGTTTACAAGAGGTTAATTTAAAATGGGGCAAAATAACTTGACTTTCCTATGGGTATTAAACTTCTTGAAAAACTGTTTTTATTCACTGATATACTGTTAAAAAAACCAAATACAACATAGACATAAGGCTATCTGAACTCTTTATTTGCCACATTTACAATATTAATAACACTCTTTCTAGAACTTGTCACATCAAGTAAAAGATCTTCATTCCAGGGTGTCTTTTGGGACCAAATTGAGACTGGATGCATGCATCTAATAAATTGTAGTCTCAAGTAGTCATTTTTGTAAATAATTAGCTTCAGTGGAAGAATAAGTTAGCATATTGTATGCTTCTACCGTGTTTCCCCGAAAATAAGACAGGGTCTTATATTAATTTTTGCTCCAAATAAAGCATTAGGGCTTATTTTCAGGGGATGATTAATTTTTTTCATGTATAACAATCTACATTTATTCAAATACAGTCATGTCCTCTTCTGGTTGCTGCACAGTGGTGGAGGATGAGCTTTCACTTAACTAGGGCTTATTTTGGGGGGTAGTGCTTATATTACGAGCACCCTGAAAAATCATACTAGGTCTTATTTTCAGGGAAACAGGGTAATATTGCAAATGTACATACTGCAAACTTTCCTATTAATCAACAGTCAAACACTGTAAGTTGGGTCTCATACATAATGAATTGTGCTTAAGCCTCCTGGGTTTCATTGATAGAAAAATAAGAAAAAACACAAGTGTGGTAAGCTTTTGAATAAAATTTAACTAGATTGCTCTGCATCCTGTAATTGTTTTGGAATCATTTGGGACTAGACAATTCATCTGCAATTTTGGGGGTTGTTTTGGCTTCATCTATCAAAGAAGACTATTTAAATGACATTAAGGTGTTGATGCAACAGCCTTTTTTATTTCTACACAGAACGATAATATTAGGTGTTCCGTGCATTTCTACATTATACAGTTAGAAAACTTTAACAGATAATGGTGGAGGATACTTTAAAGTCCTATTTTTAAATATAAAATGCATTATTATTATTGTTGTCGTAGTTTAAATCAGTTCTGGAAATATAATTGGTAGATGGTGTAAAAATGCTTTCAGTAAATAAATTAAACATCCCATATTAGAAACGGTGATTTAAAAGTCACATCCATGTGTAATCCTTGCTCCTCAGCTAGATAGCCGATACTGAATAAGATATGAAAGCCATGAGAGGGAAATGTTAAAAGACCAGCAGTCATGTTGTCTCTGGCTCTTTAAGGATTGAGGCTGGGTGGGCATGGGAGATAAATGGCTGCAGTTGGAGCTGAAAGTGTATTGGAGCAAGTTGCTCCTCTAGTGATCTCTCCATGGTCCTGCAAGCCCTGTGTCCAAACAGTCTTATCTAGTAGATCCTGGTCCTTCATCCACAGTCTGTTTTACTTTCTGTGCATACCCAAAGGTGATATCTACCCTATAGTCAAATACAGTAATGCATTATTCACTGGACTGGCCATGTTGACCGTACCACCTCTCTCCAGTTCTTCAGTCTGATGATTGGGCCTCTGGACTTCCTGGATGTTTATGCAACTTGCCATATTCAGGACAGGACATACAGCTAGTTTGAGGCAGGGGGTGGCAGATTTAGAGTGCCATGTTCCAATCATAATATTGTTAGTCTACTGTTCCAGTGTAAAGTGTCTATATGTTTACATGTAAAAGTTCTTGTTGCTCAGGGGTTGCAGAATTTGATTCAGAAAGAAGCTGTTCTTCAGAGATTTTTGAGAAAGAAACCAAAAATCTGTCTGTTCTAATGAAAGTACTAATAACAGTTTCCAAGTAACTCACCACCATCACGACCACCATAGTAAAATACAAATCTCCTCCATCATAGCTTAATTCTCTGTGATTTTGTTATAAGAAGACTAGGTAGAGATTCCAGAGACGATTCTGAGAAGAAAAACTGTGTTGTGTGATAGTGATGCATACTGACATTTACAAATGTGGTGGGGTGGCTTTCAAATGCTGGTGCTCCTTCTTTGTCTGCAGACTGAATCATCCAGAAACAAACATCAAAAATCGTATTGACTGTCTGAGCTCTTTTTCTGTTGGTGCTACTCATGTTTCACCAAGGATGATAATGTGGCACTGCAGTTTTTTGGAACAGAAAGGGGAGCATCTTTCTTGCCCATGCTGATAGTAATAGAGCAAACAAAACAAAAAAACAAGGTCTCCTGAAAGTGGGCCCTTTGCATATTTTGCCATGGCAGGAGTTCAGAAGACTGATACATGGAAATCCTTTTCCTGCTTGGTTAAAGCCTATACACTTGATGGTGAAGAGGCAAGAAGTTTTTAGATTTCAGTACAAGGGAATGAATCATTATTTGGATGTCCTGCCCACTGGGGAAAGGTCCCAAGAATTTGTGAGTAAATTGGTAATAGTTACTAGAGAAGGGCACAAACCTGAAAAATGGTAGTTTGTGATCGTTCGTGGTTAGTCAAACTAAGACCCATCAACCACCACAAATCAATCAGAAAAACAAACTGATTTGGTTTTCAGTTCATGCCAGGAGGGGGAGGGGCTACCTGCTCCCATTGCAGCATGGCAGCAGAAGAAGGCAGGCCAAGTGTTTTGGGCAGTGGGAAGGGGGCAGGTGGGCCATCCTGGTTTGCCAAAGCAAACAAAGCTCCAAGGGGGGAAAGGTTGGTGTTTCATTTTGCTTCAGAAAATGGGATCCCCAAACCAGGTCATGAACCGAACTGTGAACCAGCTTGGTTTGTTGGATTTTCTAGTTCATGGTCCAGTTCATGCCCATCTCTAATAGTTATTGTTTATGGACTTCAGCATTTGCCCAACTGCCAACCATTTTTATCAAGCGTATGTTGGCACAGCTGTCAAATTGTTTACAGTACATGACTGTTCTTGAATATATAAAGAAACTATGAGTATATCAGTCACACATAAGTGATCCTAGCAAACTATGAGAATGGAGACTTGCATTCTAATGCTGAATATACGGTATGTTTAAAATTTTAAGATAAATGCTAACTACTGTTAACAGTATCCTTTTAAGAACAGTGAACTGGTTAGAGTTGCTAAAACTAAAATTTGAATTTCAAATAAATGTGGATATGTTCTAAAATAAAAGTATTTTCTGTCCCAAAGAGTTGTGGCATAAGCAAATTCAGCCAAGTCTGTGGTTTTAGATTCCTTGTAAGAAGAGGAGGAAGACAATAGTAGGGGTAAAATAAATGATAATAAGATAATTAATTCCAACTAGGCAATGGGCCTGGATTTCTTAATAAAACTATGGGATTTTCTAAAGGCTTGCCTCAGGAACAATGGACATGCTTCTATGCATGCATCCATGTAGTGTTTTGTATATTTGTTTTGTTTTTGTATTGGAATGTATTTTATCTTGTTATTGCATTTTTTAAAATTTTGTTTAGCCAAAACCCTAAAAGGTCTCGAAGCATTTCAGAGGTTCCCCAAATATTCTAGTTGCAGCCCTCCTCTCCAAAGAGGGGAATGAGGAGTGAGCCTTCAAGCTCATTTAGGCCTTTAAACCAGGTCATATTTCATCTCAGTATTATTAGGCTGACCTAGATGGCAAAACAGTCTTAAAGCGTATCCTAAAGTGTAAGGTCTGCCCAAGCCACTTCTGACCAAGCATGGAAATTACATCCACCTAGATAATATTAAACTATTTGTACCCTGCATTGAAAACGTCTGGAGAAGGCAAAGAGCATAGTAAGATGCACAACAGAAAGTCTTTAGAAACTGTCTTCAAGAAAGGAATTCGGCTTAGTGTCCTCCAGTGTGTTCCCTGTATAGCAAATAGAAGTTCATTAAGTCCACAATTCTTCTTGTCTCTAAATCGATACAATTTTGTGCTACTTAAGATAGTTGTCTTGGTTTCTCTATACATCTGGGTTTCATTGAAGCTTCTACTGAGTTGTGAAAATGTATGCTAAGTGGTTTGGCAACTAAATAGAATTGATATGGTGCAAGAACTATCTGAGTCACAAAGTGGGAAACATAACTTAGTGAATGAAACTTAAATCAATCTACTCTATTTGATGTTTTGCTAGCTATTGACTTATTTATCATACATAAATAAGTAAATTGCATACATGTCTTTTTCATATACCATTAATATGTGCTAACTATGTATAATTTTCAGAGACAAACGACTTAATTGCACCTAGGCAATGGCTGAAAATCTTGCAAGTTACTGGAAGTAATTATTGCATGCTTCTGTGACATGTTTAATTAAATTGTAGTCTTTTTCTGCAGAAATTAACTTCTTATTTTGTTCCTTTTTTAACTTCGTAGTTGTATCTGTTTCACTGTGCCCATTATTCATGTATAAGTGTGTATTTTCAGACAGGTAATATACTGTTTTTTCTTAGTTAAAGGCTAGGAAACTTTTACTGCTGCTATTTAGATAAATTTCACTTATGCCTAAGCGAGCAAAGGAAAAGCATGTTGTCTTTCAAAAAGACACATTCTTGGATTCTCAGTTTTGAAATTGTTTCTATTATGTTGATACTTATACTAGAGATTTAGACTCCCTCAAACTTGAATAATACGACATACATATAAGTAAGGATTTCATTTTTCACCCCACATTATTATGCAGATAATACTATGGTCTTGTATTTGGGGCAGAAGATTTGCTTTGTGTGAGGTTTCTTAATAAATAATAATGTTATTTCCAACATTCTTTTTTAAAAAAAACAAGCACCAGGTTTTTGTAATTAAACTGTGTAATGTATTAAATTAATCTTTCCCTTCTTTCAGCACTATGAAGAGCTCAGTGTCTTGTGAAGTACATGAAGCCCCAGAGGAAATGGCAGAGCCTCTGAAACAGTGTACAGCGTGGCTTCGGGCCTACTTTTGCGAACCCTGGATGACCGAAAAGCTTCCAGTGCCTCCTTTCCACCATCCTCTTTTAGAGCAAGGTATGCATACACAGTAGTATCATATTCTGCATTTCTTCTGCTTCTGCGATTCACTTATGCAGCTAAGAGAATGTTTGAATGGATGAACCTCATGCACTGCAGCCAATTATATGTTTAAATGACCAAATGACATTGTCAGCAACCAGTTTGAACAGGTCTTTTCCTGTGGAGTCCGTACCCTTTCTTTTTGTTATCCTCAGCCAAGATGCATCATCTCTTAAAATGTCAATTGCCCCTTCACATAGAGCCTACTCTGGTCTTATACCTCCAGAATGTTCATATATGAGGAAGATTTTACTAGAAACTCCATAAAAATTGGAACTCTGTGGGATTTTCAATAAGAACTTACTCTCAGTATTATGTTATTCTCTTGAATTCTTATGTTCTCTGGGTTGCATATTCATTGCATATTTTTTCCTATTTTCGGACTTTGTAGCAGGTATTTTGATCATTTTGGAATTTACGCATACTCTTTTGTTGCTTTTATTATGGGCATGATTTTATTGCCTGCAAGTCACTGGATGATCCTGTGTATAATAAAGTAATCAACATGTTTCTTTTTTGGAGCAGAAGTGTATTGTTATGCACCATTGCCTCTAGATCCCTTTCTTCCACCCTAATGCTGATCTAAATGCATATTTAATCACTACCCACATTTGGATGTGGATTTATCTGTCCAGCTGCTTGAACCAGAAATGTGATACTCATTCAAATCTGTGTTCTCTGAATTTAGTGTTTTCCAGAAAAGTAAAACCGACAAAGCAAAGATGAAGTACAGTTCATTAACCTACAATATGAAACTTTAGGTTCTGTGACAGCAGTCCTCTAATTTGTTGTAGCAATTCAGACACTAGCAGGATTTAATGGGAGGAGAAGGGGATGGCAGGACTATCTTGCCCTTATCTGCTCCATGACAAACAGAAAATTAGCAGTTTAGTTTTTTCTTTCTATGATGGTGTCATGACAGAATGTACTTAAGCTGCTAAACTTGGTGCACTGGGCAGCTATTAAAAGCACAAGATTCCTGTGAGAGGAAAATATGTTTTAAAATTACCTTGGTGATGCATTCTGCCTGGTTCCCTCCCTGCTAAGCTGTTTAACTGAAGTGAATGCCTTTTTAATCCAGGCCATTGGCCTAATAGATGTTTGATTTCATTCTGCCGTACTCCCCCTTTGGAGTTTTGTTACTATCTGCTTTCCCATGTTGGTATTTCCTTGATGTATTTTGGTGGTGGTGGCTGTTTTTAAACGTAGTTCATTTTGCACACTTCTAACTTTCAAAGGATCATAGAATAATGAAGTTGGAAGGGGCCTATAAAGCCACTGAGTCCAACCCCCTGCTTAATGCAGAAATCCAAATCAAACCAGATCTGACAGATGGTTGTCCAGTTTTCTTTTGAATACATCCAGCATTGGAGCACTCACTGCCTCCTGAGGTAATTGGTTCCATTGTCTTACTGCTGTAACTCTAAGGAAGGTCTTTCTTATATTCAACAAAATCTGGGTTCTCGTAACTTGAGCCCATTATTACATGTCCTGCACTCTGGGATGATCAAGAACAAAATATTAACAATGCTGGAAGACTCTGTGGACATTTTTGTTAAAGAGACGTCAAAAGGAGAAGCCATTGTAATTAAATGGAGTACAATTGTTTGCCAAGCCATATTTTCCTGTGAAAGAGGAGAGTGCAAAAAAAAAAACTCTCTGAAGCTCAACATCAAAAAAACTAAGATCATGGCCACTGGTTCCATCACCTCCTGGCAAATAGAAGGGGAAGATATCCAGGAAGTGACAGATTTTACTTTCTTGGGCTCCATGATCACTGCAGATGGTGACAGCAGCCATGAAATAAAAAGACACCTGCTTCTTGGGAGGAAAGCGATGACAAACCTTGACAGCATCTTAAAAAGCAGAAACATTGCCTTGCCAACAAAAGTCTGCATAGTCAAAGCTATGTTTTTTCCTGTAGTGATGTATGGAAGTGAGAGCCGGACCATAAAGAAAACTGACCGCCGAAGAATTGATGCTTTTGAATTGTGGTGCTGGAGGAGGCTCTTGAGAGTCCCCTGGACTGCAAGGAGAACAAACCTATCCATTCTGAAAGAAATCAACCCTGAGTGCTCACTGGAAGGACAGATCCTGAAGGTGAGGCTCCAATTCTTTGGCGATCTCATGAGAAGAGAGGACTCCGTGGAAAAGACCCTGATGTTGGGAAAGTGTGAAGGCAAGAGGAGAAGGGGATGACAGAGGATGAGATGGTTGGACAGTGTCATCGAAGCTATGAATATGAATTTGACCCAACTCCAGGAGGCAGTGGAAGACAGAAGGGCCTGGTGTGCTCTGGTCCGTGGGGTCACGAAGAGTCGGACAGGATTAAACAACAACAACAGCTAACCATCGTTGGAAGTACAGAATGAAAAGAAGTTTGTGAATGTCTGAGACTGGGTTGCTGTCATCATTACAAGAGAAACAAGAGGGTCCCTTGAAATGTGTTGCAGAATGTTTGGGACGTCACACCCACTGTATTTTTCTCAGATATTGCAGACATTTTCGTTAAGCAGATGTAGATCATTGTAGGTAGGCATTTTGCACCAAATGTTTTTTTTTTTCAGTGAAACAGGCTAACCTTGTATCAAGCACAGATTGTAAAGTTTAGTGACCTTTTTAGATTATACATCCTTTTTTAGAGCCCAGCAGTGCTCTTCTCAGACTGATATGCAGAATTCTAAGAGGATGCTTTTGCCTTCCTTTCATTCAGCTATTTTAGAGTTTGGACTAAGCAGGTGTGCATATTTTATGGTTGGAAAAGGGGTTGGGGACAGGAATATTAGCCGATATACATGATGACTGAAACTGATAAATAGTCGCAAAACATGTTTTTACATTGCCAAATACCACTGAAATATTTTTTGCATAGGCTAAAGAAAGGATGTCCAGAATTATCTGCAATAGTTTATTATATAACTGGCCTTTTTGTCTTCCAAGTGAACAACTTTCTCAAAAATTTAACAAAGCATATGGGGGATAGTCACAATGACCATAAGCTGTCTGAAATGGTATAAGAGCAATGGCATAATAAACAAACCGATCTGGCAAAAAACAAGAAAACTTATTAATGGAGTAGAGATTATAAATCATTTTAGGTGGAGGGAAAAGATGAGCAAGTATGTCGTGTTCAACTATGAGTGGGCTGATCCTGGATTCAGACTTGCCTTTAGTGAATTTACAGGCTTACCCGCTGGAAAATATCCTGGGGCTGTCTTCCTCAGTAAAATGAGAGTAGTACATTTTCAAACCAGCTGGTTTGTTAAAGAAATGAAAAGAAAATTGGGTACCAAAAAAGGCTTCTCTCTGCCTGTGACTAATAGCAGCCCTTAGGCAATGCTGTTACTCTAGCATGCAGCAGTCCTCAGAATGAGACCCTTTAGAAACCTGCATTTTTCTTTGCTATGTCTTTCAGTCAGGTCATAGTGCAAAAGGTGCATAGACCTCTAATTTAGAGAAAATGTTTCCTCGCTGTGCCTTAATTTAAGTCCCCAGTGTTGTGTTGTCCACAAGGCGTATTGTCCACGTACACAGAGCTCTGCTAACATATCTCTTTCATTGCACTTCTCATTTATTCGTGTGCCCGTCCTACCAACAAACAATTAATGAGAAATTGAAGGGTAGAAGATTTTCACACATATTCCTGGTGGCAATAAGCATGCAGAGCAGATATAAGACTTATCTTCTGCCTAACTTTCAAAAGAATGCTTTCTTCCAGAATGAATGGTGACAGTGGAAAGGAAGAAGTATTTCCATATGAGGATCTCATCAAAGGAGTAGACTTAGTGATATGTAAGAAAAGGCAGCTGTTTGTTTCTTTGTTGTGAAGTAGGCATTTCTCCAAGGGACAGTCTCGTATAGCTGTATCTCATGGGTGAACCTACCATGTGTTCTCCACTCTCCCACAATCATTGGTGCTGACTGTGTTGTCTTAGCCACCTGAACGACAATACTGTATATGGGTGTGGGAAAAACATGCATAATTTAACTCCTTCCCACCCATGTATTTCCAGTATTCATGTACACATGGCAGCCAGGATCATATATTGGAAAATTGGATCTTGCAAACAAGTTGACAGGTGGAAGAAAAAGAGGAACCATTAATATTGAAAAACCTGTTGTGTACCTCTCAAGTCTGAGTTCTTCTTTCTCCCATCAGAAAAATCCTTCCTATCTAAATAATGGCAGTATAAATTTATAGTATTCTTCTGTTATACACATTCTCCCTTTTAAAAACTAATCATCACATACAATTGTTGGATGGTGTTCTTTTTACTGACCCGTCATTTGATAAACAGCAAGCACCTACTCTGAATTGTTTGCCTTGATTTGATTTTTTTTCCCCTCCATATTCTGGTAACACCTGTATACATACTTTTAGCAGATATATCTTCATCTCAAAGTTAAAGAGGAGAAAGACATGGTGCTGAGGAGGCTAAAGGCAATTGACAGCAGAGCTCAAAGTAAATGAACACAGTAAGAAAGGACACGCTGTCTCTTTACTTGCTGTATCATTTCTCTTTAAATCTGTCTGTCTAAGAGCTGGATATGGGGTTTTTCTTTATCCATTGCACCCAATCCTTCATTTATCTGCTGAACCACTTAAAGTCCTGATGCATGAATAATAAGACTTTCTCCTGTAAATTTTTGCCACTCTACCCTGGGAAACAGTCATTGCATGCTTCCAACTCAAGTTCTATGGAGCCTCTAAAGTATTCATCTGCATAAAGATGTTCTTGGACTTCAGCTCCCAGAAATCCTGCCCAGCAGAGGTGGGGATGAAAGCTTCTGGGAGTTGTAGTCCAAGAACATCTGGAGACCCAAGGTTGGAGACCACTGCTCTAAAGTATTCATCTGCATAGCTTGGAAAGTCGGGACAAGGTAGGGAAGAGGACACTATTGGGAAAGACACATCTCATAAGAAGCAAACCATGGTGAAATCTTTAATATCGAAG